GCTGGCGGCGAGGCGCTGGCAGAGGCCGTCTCCACTCCTTCGGTGAAGTTAGCAGGAATAATTGGTGTCACCTCATTTCCCTTTGGCATCCTCAGGGCTGTCGACGAGCGTTCCCAGGGACGTGCGTACCCGTAGCATCACTTTGTGTGCCGCGGTGAAAAGCGGCGATTCATTTTTGCCAACGGAAAAGCCTGCGGATGAGCTGAGCGCTGCAGCTCTCTGCCCGAGTGAGCAGAGGCATACAGATGGGGCGGGTATGTTTCTGTAAATATTTAGCGGAAGGTAATGAAATTCCAGTGATGTACAAAAAAAAAAAAAAAATTAATAACTCCCATGAACAGACCTTCGGTTTGGAGGATAGAGTTTTTGTCTATTTTTATGTATATTTTTATACTGCTTGGGGTAACCTTATTACCAAAAGAGTCTCTTCTATGTTGGGGGTCGAGTTCAGTAGCACAATTTTAAAGCAAAATTACTCTTTGGGCATTTTAAATGCTTATTTTTTTATAAGCCTCAAGACAATTATAACAAATAAAATCTGTGTGTAGAAATGATGTAAGAAACCAAGTTTAGTGGAAGTTTTAGAAGACGTTAAATAAATTTTGGAAAGATGATACAGAAATCCTCTAATACGGTACCAAGCAGTTGTGTGTGGTTCTTTCCTCAGAAGACCAGCGTTCTGCCTACTGAAAAATTGAAGCAGAAATGTTTTTACCTGCTGCACTGTGCAGAGGGTTGCATTAGTGGCTGTATTTTTAACCTCTTACCCAGCCGTACCCCTTTCGAGATAGGTAGTGTTTTCATCAGTTAGTAGCTAAATTTTATACAACCGTAGTTTTGGGGGGGAAGATTGGGACTATGGGCAGCCCGGCTTCTGTAGCTGATTCAGGCTCCACTTCAGCAAGTTGTTGGAGCAGGTGACTAAAAGGGTGAGAAGAAAAGGGGGGGAGTTAAGTACCTGGCTAGCAAGGACGGGTGGAGCGGGGTAACCTTGCTCCCCTTGCCTTTCTTTGCGGAGAAGGATGGGCTGCAACGTTACAGCGGCAGGAAGGAATCGCCCCGAGCTCAGGGGGTGGCGGTGAGCTGCTGAGCACCGTCTCCTCTCCTGGAACAGGGGAATTAAAGGCAGCACAAGTCACTGGAGCTACAGCTGCTTTTGGTCTGTCCCACAGCATCTGGTCTGGGGGGTAGCAGCAGCTCTGGGGGGCTGGCAGAGTGAGGGAGCCCACGTGCTGAAGCTCGAGGATACGGATCTAAACTTTCTGTGAGGTCAGGGAGGGTTTTTGGCTGGGCTTCGTCAGATGGGTACCCACCTGGATACCCCGTAATGCTTGAAAGCTTTTGCTTCCCCTTTGCTTTGTCTCAGAATAAAGCAGGGTCTGAAATGTTCCCAGTTAAAAAGCAATACTCGAAGCATTACAAGACGCCCGTGTTAACCTGTGACCACAGATATGCCCTTGGCTGTAAGAAAGGTTTTTATTGAACACTTTGCCGAGTTTGTGCTCCTTTTTGTCTCAGAGGGGATGAGCAGCAGAGGTGTTTGCTCTGCAGTCTGATCGTAACTTCAGTGGGACTGTAACCTCACACCGAAACGTTGCCATGGGATGTTACGTGAATGTGTTTAAAATGAAGAAGGGAAGATTAAACCGTAACTATTGATATGAAGGGAAGGTCAAACCTATTCTATGTAGGGAGAGACAGACAGACTGACCAGCTCGACTTGCCCAGTCTGTCTCTTTTCTCCAGTACGAAGTGCTGCATTGTGGATTTAGGATGGCTTTTGTTTTGCTTGGTTGTTCCCATTAGGATGCATTTTCTTTGCACTCCTGGTGTTGTGCTGGCACGTTCTCTGCCCACGCAGGCAGCAGGAGAACAGGGTCTTCCACCCTATCCGCTGCTGTGCTGGAGACACTGGCCTCCCCTCCCGACAATTCTCCCCTCGTTGGTACTTTGGACAGGGTTTTATTGGTACTGGGTGGGTTTTTTTTAAATATATGGATATACAAGCAGCAAATTATTGAGCCTTGCAGGAGGAATTTGCCTCTTCCCTTCTTGGAGAAGCACCACATTCAGTCACCGCGGCGCACGAGAGCACCCGAGATGCACAGAGCTCAGGGCTGGAAGCAGCCCAGAGGTAGTTTGACCAGAGGAAGCCCAGTGCCTCTGTGCTGCACTGTCTCTTATCAGGCAATCGAACGTGCCCAGGCTATCTGACAGAGATAAGAGGGTGAAAAGGTCCCGTGTGTGGGAAGGGAGCAGGGACAGGTGTAGAACAGGGACAAAAACCACAAGTCCCCATGCAAGGGGTGATGAGGTACAAGACAGCAACAAAATAAACTGGAGGAGTGGGATGTTTGTTCCCCAACCTCACCCCAATCTCCTTCCCTCCCAGCAGAGAGAGGGGAAAATACCTTATTTTGACAGATCATTTTGCTTGCTCTGGTAGAAAAGTGGTCACTGAAGGCAAAAGAGGCAATTCCTGGTCACAAGGTAATTTGGAGTAAGAAAGAGTCAAATTATTTACCCTGCGACGATCCCTGACAAGTCCGGAGTCTTCCTGGCCTGAAGCAAAGAAAATGCATCTTAATGTGGGTGTTGGCTCCATGTGGGGCAGGGAGAGTTAAATCAAGCCAAAGACTGTTCAGCTGCTAGCAGAAATGAATGACTGTAGATTCACCTGATGTTGTTATTTCGTGTTTACAATATTTATTTTTAGTAATTGACTGCAATTATATTATATATAGGCTTCCTTATTTTTGTACTTTTCATACCTTTTCCCCCGAGTGTGGTGTTGTACTTCTCAGCTCCCCTTTGCCACGATTGCTGCTCCTAGTCAGTGACAAATAAAAGAGAGAAAAAAAACAACCACCCGTTTTCTGGGGTAAGTTGTGATGTGTTTGGGTTTCTGTGCTCCTCACTCCTGCACTGAGCCACTCCAGCAAATTCTTTAGGGAGGGCATCTGCACCACTGCTCCATCCCAAATCCCTGATCCTGTCCACTGGGAAGAAGGGCCAAAGCTGGGAAGGGATTTGTTTCTTTGCACTGACAGTCCCTCTGCAACCAGGAGGGTGAGGGAGGGCATAGGTAGGACCACAGGTCAAGGGAAGAAGTCGTTAGCGTTTGCAATAAAACATCCAGGAGTCTCACGTAAGCTCTTGCTCCACATCCCACGTCCTCATCACGCTGCAGGGTGGCGGTTCCCCAGCAGCAAGGGCAGACGTACGGGGTCGTGCGGGCCAGGGCTGCGTTTGCACCCAGCAATGGCTTGTCCGGGGCGAGCAGGGGTGTGGGTGGCCCTGGGAGCCAGCGGGGTGTAAGGGCAGAGCAGGATCTGGACCTGAACAGGAGGTGCTAAGCCCTCGGCACAAAGCAGGAGCCCTGCAGCAAGCTCAACCCAGCCCCAAGCTTCGATTTCAACCCTGGCATTACATAAAACACAGGTATTTTAATGTATCTGTTCTCTCCTGCCATTAACAAGCACCCTGTACTTCTTCCCACTGAATCAGTGACAGTTTTGAAGACTTGGTAATTCTAGTTTAAAAAAGAAAACCTGCTGACTTAAGTATCTAAATACCAAGTTCGATGCTGTAGCAGATGAACGCCTTAAGATGCTTCTGCTTTCTGCCTCCAAAGTAGTATGGCACAACACAAAATTATACAGAGGAGCATCCATGGTCCAAATCCAATAGGAAAAGCTATTCATGGTAGAAAAGGATAGACACTGGTGAGTATTCCACTTGTAATCATTTATTGACAAGTTGCCATGTTTTTCCATCTTGCCTAACACATTTTTATCCTTGTTATAAAGTACAAATGGTTTTATACTTTTCTGACAACATTAAAAAAATAGGCTACTAAAGAGGCAAAATTCCCACTTTGAATCCAAAAGTCTGAATGTAAGAATTCAAAATTGCAATAGACAAACATAAAACCCAACACATAAAAAGAATGAATACAGTGTACCTCTTACACTTGACTCATTCGTCAAACCAACTGAAAAGGAATCCCTTGTTCCCAGCTCTTACTTTGGATCCTGTGACCTTGCTTAACTGATGTGAAGTCTGTGTTAACACATACAACTCAAAAGGCACTCAGAGGTCACAAGTTCCTGAGCTAAAATGGGATATATTCCCAATGTAACAGTTAAAACAAGTCACAAAAGAACAATGTCTAAAAACTGGTATTTGGTTCATGTGAGTACAGTAAGCATTCAGTAGAGTCTTAGCTGAAAGCTGATGCTGTATAATAGACTCAAATGATGGTTAGTACATCAGAGTATTTTCAGTACGTGAAAAAAAATAATTCACTTATGAGCATCCTTATTAGCAAATCCATGTGCTCAAAAGAGAGAAGATAAATATTTGCTGCAGCGTTAAAAAAAAGCTCAAGAACAAAAAAAGAAATGTAGGTATATGAGATGCAACGAAGGCTTAAAACCAAGCAGGTTTGAAAGTCTGTACAGTTAAATAACTAACGGAAGTTGAGAGGCAACATTTACACAGATATATTTGGCCCTAATGGAATAGGACCATAAAAGTAAGCAGAACATGGACCTGGTATTTACAGATCAGTTATTAAAAAACAAAAGAAAACAAAAAGACACACTAAAAAACCCGACACGTCCTACAATGTGTGCTCAGAATTTGACAGATAAATTCGTAAGATGCCATTCACACAAATTCCCTATTTCCAATTTGGCTCAGTTTTTGCCTGGAAAAATAAAAGTGTAACATTTATCAAACAAGGAATGGCTACTGTCTGAAGATGCAGAACAGAAATTAAAAAAGAAAAAGGGATAACTAGTTTTGGCCTATATAATTTCTGATCTTCTCTTCAGATATGCATAGGAGTATACTAAGGCCATAATATATATTTGCTACAGTGTAAGGCCTTTTTTGTTGTCAAAGCTCTGTGCGTCAGCAGGGCATTTAACTTAAAGCAGGCATACAGAGTTATAGAAGTGCTACTCTAATCCACTGAAGAGATCTCAGGTTTCCGAACTATCTGGCAGTGCCTCACTGTCAGCCTTCTTCTCTGGTGACGTGTACAAGAAGTTACAGCAGATATAGAGCGGAAAGATCAGGAGTCTACTGTCCAAATTCATTACTACCTGCTCCTGCAAAGCAAACACAGCAGGCATTTGCATAGTAAGTGATGCCATTAGAGGGAAGTATATCGACAAGCACAGAAGCCTGACACTAAATCATTCCGTAATTTCTTATTACTATGTACTAAAAAGCAGAAGATAAAACCCCCCCAAGATAGTAATTCACCTAAGCAGATGTTTTATAATATTAACACTAACAAGACACTCTCAAAACACTTACAACCCTTTGACCCAGTGCTGCCTACCCTTCTGCAAAGATAACAGACCGTAAGAAATGGCTGAGCAAACTTTACTTCCACGCACGCTGGAGAGAAAGGGAGACTTTTCTGCCGCTACCAGCTTCAGGAGATTTAACCAACCAGGCAATCCATAACAATTTATACTTTAAAGCAAATTACAGTTTGTTGGTAGGAATTTTTCGGTTTTACTCTATGAACCGGTTGTGGGGTAGCAAAATTGAAACTTTTTCCTTGTAAATGCCATCCTTACTATAGGGTAAGTTTTCTATGTACTTACCATCTATGTATCACTGCTGATTAGGATTTAAGAAACTTGATGATCAGGTCTTTCACATTCCTTACTAAATTCTGCTGTCACAGATGGGTGGAAATGGGCATGTTCTCTTAAGAAAACTCCTCTCTGAGGCTTTTATTTATTTTTTTTAATAAATACCACCCTTGAACAATATGCAGACAGTCTTTTAACTCTTCAGCTTATAATACAAGAGAGTCTTCAAACAAATTCCAAATTTGCCTCTAAATAAGCAGGAGTCTGATGGACATATTATTCAGACAGGTAATCTCACCAGCGTCGGAAGTCTGGGAAAGCAAGCTGTCGTCCAGCTGAACACTACACTAGCAGATAGCTTCAGCAGCACCATGGGAACTAATTTCACTATTATCAACTTTAATGAAATCCATGCTATCCTACTGTAGTTACACTTCACAAATTAGCTTAATCTTCCACTGCCTATAAAAGGAACACTTGAAATTCCACATACGCAATGACAACAAGAAGAACAACTCCTCTTCAAAAGCACTGTTGACTTCTCAGTTTTTCTTTTTATGCCTTGGACTCCACAATTCAAGTTCAACAGCTCAAATATCCACAAACATACCTGGTCCTTCTCAAGGGTTAGGATCTGATATCCTGTCGTTCTACTGCAAATAATTTTCCCACTGCTATCAAAAGAGGCTAGACGTAACCTAGGGATATAACAACAGTTAAATTACTTAGTCTCAGTTTTTCCAGCACAAAGAGAGAATTTCTCCCAAGGAGACAGAACATTTTCTAATGTAACTGACTTGGTGGCCACAAAATTTAACGCAAGCACAGATGGAAGGAGTTAGTTAAGGTAAGACATTTTAGCACACACCACAGGGTCTCCCCTCTTGATTATTGTTTACCTGAAGGCTATGTTTCTCCGAGGCTGCAGACTGACTGATCCACTGCATGGCTGATTCAGCGTATTCCGTTTGAAAATGATGTAACGATTTGTATAAGTAACGAGAAGGTCAAAGCCAAAGTTGAACCCAGTCCACCGCCAGCAGTACTGAAGAATGTAAGTAAAAAACCAGACAAACCAGTCTGAGTATTTGCTACAACACAAATGATAAGTGCCACTTCTCCAACGAATCCAATCTGGGAATGGGATTCTCAGCTACAGAGATGTATGGTGGATTCAAGGATCCTTGCCAACACTATCTGAAACATTAGACATCTCAGTAGGCAGCCACTTGCTTTAGCGGCCAGCCCGTGCAGACAGATGACTACACAAGACAAGCTTAGAATCAGCTGCCTTCCAAACATACAAAAATACGTTTAACACAAGTGGATCTAAAATGCTTCTGCATTCTGGTAACTGGTGCTGTATTTCTGACTAGCACTTAACTACAGGTCCCATTCATGCTTAAAGCACTCCTTGCAGTACAGCATCCAGTCAAGAGACTTCAGTGGGAAAAAATTCATGTTTTCTGTTTGTTCACAAGACCCGTTACCTAAAGACAAGTATATGTATATGAAACACACTTTCCCAGTTAAAAAGAAAAAGACATCAGTGATCAGAGCTATATCTTAACTGCACGTATTTTACAAGTCCCAAATGAAAAGTCATGGCTACATTCCTCACTTTCAGACACTAGAAGTTTTTCCAAACATGGGCTTGCTGGCAGCACAATTAAAACACTGATTCCTTATTCATCACAAAGATAGAAAGAGTTTTCATCCTTCTAAGGAGAACAAAATAACTTCTTCAACGTACCATCTCCATTACATCTTTTTGATGCACTTTGACAATTAAGACCTACATGTTTTGAAAATACCCAACATGTCTAAGACATGTCAGCTATGCACGGACTTAGCCACATGCCATACTTACATCACCATCCTTTGCAAGTTTTCGACCACACCTCATGCTGTTTCCTTCCAGTTCTTCTTTATTTATTTCTTGAGGCCTACAAAAAAGTGCACCTTTAAGAACACTTAAACAGCTTTGCGTGGTACTTTAACGTGGGAAAGATGAACAGACCTGAGTAAACTGGTCTGACCACACAACTGACCCTCCCTTGAGCAGAGGCTAGACTAGATGACCTCCCAGGATCCCTTCCAACCCAAATTATCCCATGAACTACTCTACAAAACTGCAATATAAACTAGGTTGTGATACCTCAGTTAGGTAGGACTTTCACAAAAGAACCTTTCCAAATAAGAAAGTAGTAGCTGTTGCAAGGAAATACATTCTCCAATCCTCCTAAAAAACCCTAAGTCCTTTTCAAATGCAGTAGTCCTGACTTACTAGGCACAAACATAAATGAGTGCTGCTGCTAAGGAACAGCTGCAGGACGCTGCAGCACAGCAGCGCTGTGAAGAAGCGCCCACAGAGACTTTATGAAAGATTTCTCAAGTGGCTGGTTATGTAACTTGTCTAAAAAAAAAAGTTTACCCACACTGATCATGAAGCGCCACAAGCCTCTTGATTCTGTCATCCTATACCAACATGAACTCGTTTCACTCAACAGTTTCCACTGGCGCTTCAACATGTAGAAAAATCTTGCAGAGCCAGCACAAGTAAAATCAGTCCAAGTTTTCCAGAGGTATGTTGCTCACTTAACTTTAGACACGATTACATCATTAACCAAATAAGCAACCAGAAAGTCTTCAAGTTACACTGAGGACAAATGCTTACAGTGGGTATTATAAATCACAGTGAAAGGCAACCCCCACACGCAGGTTAAATTATAAACCCGCAATATCAAACAATATACTTCAAGCTATATAAGCAAGAAGAAATGCAGCAGCTGTTCTCTTCCGACTGTACACACACCACAAGAACTCGCAGCTATAGCTTTTATGACCAAACTCAGTCTGTGGTCTTTTTCCCCTCCGTTTCTGTAAAAACAATCCTGGAAGATGAAGTATTCTATGAATAAGTTAAGCAAATAAGCTAATCAGGCTAATCAAATTCACCCAAGAACCTCCGGTGTGCTTTTTCCACATCTTCTAGCTGAACTGGTTACGTAGCTGACCTAAATTCAGTAATGGTGATAGAAGATTTCTGTTTAATTAGTGACAAATTTCACAAACATTAGTACATAATATTCAGACAGACATTAGTATTCCCCCCTCTCAATTCCTCAAGCAGCCTCAGAAGATGCAAAACTTCCAGCTTTAACCACTTATGCTGGCCTACCATATGCTTAGTGAACAGTCAAGTTATTCTATGTCATTCTTAAACACTGCCAATGAGACTATTAGAGTAGAAACAATTCCAGCCATGGACTTGAAAGATATGTCTTGCATCTGCCACTGAACAAATGCTTAATTAAAAAAAAAAGTGATCCACTTTAGCTCAAGTAAACCTTGAGCAGCTGCAGTTCAAAGTCACAAACTTCAGTATTACACGAAAAAAGCTCAAATTCTGAAGAATGAATAAAATGTTTAGTCCTTTTAAATGCAAACTACATAAAGTAGAAGAGAAACATTTTCTTCTTCTCTCTAAAGTTATCAAAAGAGCAAACCACATCACACATTTCAAAGCAATGTAATTTCCATGTTGGCAGCGCTGGAATAAGCAGGTGCAATTATGCTATGCACCAGGTGGGATATGAAAATAGAGCCTTACTTCAGCTCACTGGGAGTCAGATTTCATTCAGCTTACTAAGTTTGCATCCTTATCTCCAAGGGAAAACGTGTTAAGATACTGACACAGGCAGTAAGTGTGAGGGGAAAAGGCAGCAGATCTGGATAAAAGGATGGTCTTACAAAACATTAATTCTTTTCTCTCGGCTACAGGTTGGTCAAACGTCCAAAGTATTTGCTTTAATACAAAGGAACGGGTGCATGTCTTTCATTCTAAGACCACAAGCACCTCACTGCAGGGCAGCACTGCAGCTTGCTGGTAGAAGACAGAGGAGTGATCTCAGGAATTCAAATAACATTTATCTTCTCAGAGACTGCGTGCTAGGGACTAGCGACATTACAGCTGAGCTGATACAACTACAGGGAAGCACTCCACACGCATGCGTGCGCACCCCCCACCATCTCCCTCCCACACAACTCCAGAGGACACTCTGTTGAAAGACAATTAGGCCATTATTGACTATTAAACAAACTGTAACCTGGATGCCACCTTGAACCATTAACTTTGTAAAGTACTTTAAGTCAGAAGCTAAGACGTATTGAGAACACACACTACATCTCACCCGCTTCTTACCATTGCCATTAAAGAAAGATCTTGACAATGAATTCCAGAATAAGAGATTTAGGCAAACAAGTGTCTACTGTTAAGTAAAACCTTCTCTACCTAAGATTTTCAGTTTCAGCTGTCTTAAAAAAAATTTTAAAAATCCCATGCTGCAAAAGAGAAAACTAGACAAGCAAGAAAAATGTGGAAAAATACTCCGCTCATTCCAAGAGTCACTGAAATCATCAGCACTGCAGTTGAAAATGAGCAACTTTCATGTTAAAAGCTGATATGATCCCCATCATCTTCACTTCAGTTTTGTATGAGAGCTTACTTTTTCAGAAGCATGCATAGCTGATGGCTGACAATTAAAATACTCTCGCTGAATTACAGTGAGCTACCCAAAGACATCAAAAATAAGCAAATACATGGTCTTATCTTGTGTCAGAATTTTGATGATTATGTTAATACTCACTCTCGTATTAGCTGTGGTTCCCATACGAGCCAGAAGGTAACACACAACGTACGATCGTCTACTGTTAGATATGTTGACAGCATTACAAGAAAAGTCTTCCCAAGAGAACAATAGTATCAGAAACAAGCTATGACCACCTGACATTAGTCCTTAGCAGCTGAAATGATGATATTCACAATTACCTACTTTGTCAATAGCAGTGCTTTAGAAAATGGTTGTTCTGTTACAACTTCTTAAAGATCTTGAGATCTTGACTATTCTTAAGACCAAAGTCAGAGTTTTGGTGTGGTGTTTGTTTGGTGGGATGTTTTTTTTTTCACATTATTACATGTTAACATCAAAAGGAAGTAATTAAGGAAATATTTCCTATATAATATGCAATTAAGCCACAGAAGCCACTACCCTGAGGTGCTGGGGCTAAAGCATAGGCTGTTTCAAAACAGAACTGTATGTATTTAAGAACAGGTCTATTGGTGGCTGGTCGTTCAATAATGATCCAGCCAAAATGTCCACCTGGAAAATCCTTAACTACTCACTGCCACAGAAATACGTCAAGAGAGCTCTCACTCTTCACTTTAAAGGAAGGTGGAAGATTTGTAACTCTACCACTGAACGCCGCTACAGACTGCATGGCCTTTGGTTCAAATCAGGACAGTGGTTCTTGTGCTTTTCAGATTGCAATTAATAAGTGAAGCCTATACCACTGCAACTGAACGTGCTCATCTTCAGAACGGTACATGCTGGGATAGCAGAACCAATGGAAGTAAATAAAGAAGTTGGTTTATTGTTTTTTGAAAGGTAACAAACATTTTGCAGCTTCCTGACCTGACATTTATTCTCCACAAAGCACACAGCTCCCCCAGCTGCATTTTGCCAGTTTTTCAGTACTTAGAAAAAGATCATGCCAGGGACCTGGCTCAGGGCAACACAGCAAAAAGCAAGCAGAAGGAAAGGAAACATTTGCATGTAACACACACTAAATCAACACGCCTCACTGCCCAACCCACCACCACCAATCCTTTTTAGGCGCAGGCTCAAGAAACCCAACTACACATTACACACACACACACCAGTCAGGTACATGCAAATCTTTGAAAGGGCACAGAAACAACACATGCATGCTGGTAGCCATCATGGAATTTTGTCAATGGCAATGAAATGCCACCACAGTGCAACACATGGTCTAGGAAGGAGAAAAGATAGGATATAAAACAGGAGGATTACAGAGAGAACAGGGTCTTAGCAGTGGAGAAGGATGGGCTGCCTTGGGAAAGGCTGGAGGTGCTGGCAGTGGAAAGAGCTATCAAACATAAACAGCGGGTGGGGGAAAGGCTGTGAAATCAGAAGGGAATGAGGCGACCAGGTCACAGGATGCCAAGCCCTGCTGGGTGCTGGGAGCTCGCTCGCTGCCTGGGAGGCTAGGATTCGAGAGGGTGGAGTTATCCCTGCATAAACAAAAAAATGACAAATTGCCTTCTACACCAATACAGTTGGTTACATTGCACCACAACCTCTTGCTCCCTAACCCACGGAGGAAGGAAGCAGGACAGAAAAGGCAGCTTCTCCATCTGCAGTACTTTTCCTAAAGTCATCCTTAAAGTGGAAGGCTAGTAAGTTACTCTTTCACAGCCTCAACACATACTTCAAGGCAAAGTACCGGTGAGAAGCGTTAACCAACATAAAAGAAAATACAGAACATCACTCGCAAGCATTTACCTCTGGTCGCATTATACAAGTTCTCTAGAGTTCTACTGTTTAAAGGATAGGAGATCGGCCAGTCCAAGGGAACAGACAGCTCCACAGAGAACAACAGAGTTTAAAAACAGTTAAGCAAACTGACGTGCTTCCCCCCCCACCCCCCCCAGCTCTTCTTAATGTAAACTCCAGAAGTTAATCAGGTTAGAATTTATGAGAGGAAGGTTTCTAATTTAAGAAATAAAGGAAAGCCTGTAGTATACCTACCCAATATCATTGTCTTGTTCTGCTCTGAGCATGGCAAACCACTGCTGTTTGTAAACAGAGGACAGCCATTCTAAAATTAAAAAAAAAAAAAAAAGCTTGGTGGTATCTTTGGAGCTGGGAACGGGGTTGTTCATAAACATTTGAAATATAGAAATAAAATTACATTGAAATAATAAGGTTACACTTATTAACTGGATGGCCTGTGCAAACCCACCACCTGACAACGCACTTGTGTTATTCATTTCCAGGCCTCAACTACAGAAGAAGTGGTACAGATAAAATCAACAACTAACACTAAGGAACTCAGGACTATATTCATCTTATCAAGCAGTCACGATTGCCAGAAGTGATGCAAGTCAACACATTTTCTCAACTCTGTTAAGTCAAGGAGCTTGTTAACAAGCTCTTGGGAGAAGATGCTGTTTTCCAAATCCCCAAGAGAATTCTACACAAGTTAAACAAGAAGAAAACAGAATCAAAGGATAAAGGAAACAGTGACTTATCACAGATATGGTAAAAACAAACAGAAATTGTCCCCTACTAGGAATAAACATAAATCATGCCTTCCTCTGAGAACACCATACAGATTTTATCGGCTGTATTAAATTAACAGTTGCAACCAAGAGATAAAACAGAACAAAACCTAACAGCTTGTAAGTCAGTTACACAAAACGGATCACAGGTATCCAAAAGCACAGTATGTAAGTTCTTCTTAGTCAAGATAACGAACAGGGGCAAGTATGCAAGGTCACGTACGAGAACAAACTCCATGGAGGAATGGACTGAAATGATAGGAACAGTAAGAACCGCTGTTACCACAAAAACAAAGCAGGTGGTAGATGAATATGATAGAAGAGAGAAGAAGCGAGATCATAGTGCCGAGATCCCCTTAGAAGTCCCAGATGCAAAAACTAAAACCAGCCCTTGCCCTACTAACTCTAGAGTTAAGATTCAGACTGCGACAGGACCAAAATGGGAATTAACCAAAGTACAACAGAAAGTATAAAAATGAATTAAGGAAAACTACACAGGTAAGGAACAGAGAATGGATGTGCTAGAAGGAAAAAAAAAAAATCAGGAGATAGAACATCTTATCTATTTTTGTGTATGTACGTACCTATTTCATACGTCATATTTCAACTGTGGTTCATCTGTTAATTTATAAACATTAAGAGGGAAAATACTGCTTAGGAAATGTTCAGAAGTTAGCAAGTAAAACAGAACAAGGAACACTTGGCTTACGGACAGACACATTATGTATTTCTGTCTTACATCTTTTCTATGCAAACAAGAACAGACTCTCTGTTGTGAACTCCTAATACAGTGTTTTAGTCAGTTTTCTCCTGCAGTCCTATGCACAAAGTATTAAAACCCCCCCACCCCCAAACACAAAAATTACACCATTTCTTTCAACTATTCAACATGATTTCCTTCTTTATCTCCTTGAGAACACTTTAATCTAGAATAACCTAAAAGGCTTACACTATTACATGAACTACCAGCAACTTCCATGTCTGTAGACTCTCTTGGGTACAATGCAATCACCTCAAATACTGGATGCTGGCAGCCAATAATCTGTCCAGAAGCCCAATATTTATCTAAGCCTCCTTTTAAATGACGAGCAAAAGTTCCTGAGCTTAACACAGCTTTTGACTACAAACCGGTATCAACAGATTACAAGAGCTATGAAGTATTAAAGTCTAACAGCACTTCATTACACACATAGAGGTCTCCACATAATGCCGCTCTTCTCTCCCCACTCTCCCAGTTCTCTTGGAATTCAAGGATTTTTTAAATTAATAATCAGTGGTAGAGCGTAAGCATCAGATACTGTTCCCGCACGAACCACACACTCACTGTCATCACACTACCTTTCCCACTGTATGACTACAAAGCAACCAAGCCTATTTCAGCATTTATCACAGCTTACGGACTGCTTAGCTACGAAAGAGTAAACATTTTGCTAATACCTTGTGAACTATGCAAACATTGCACATTCTTTTTCAGTAAGCATGAGCAAATCAGTCTTAAAGTTGCAATTGATCTTGTAACAATTTAAGGAACGTTCTTCCTCTGACATACATAGATAGAAGGCTTCTGGGTTTGAGTATAGACACAAAATTTACCCACTGAAGAAACTAAGAAAAGGCTGCTCATCACAGTTCTGGTAACTGATAATGGCAGCAATATTAAGAGAAGGAATTCAAGTGCAGTACTGGCAAATTTCTAGTTTGCAACATCTTATTCACATGCTGACAAAGCCACTCCACAAGGAAATAATCCACAGTTCTCTTGTGTCACTATTAAATTAAGGATCTAAAGGGTTATTCACCCCAAGTTATCTTACTTTTTATTATAGAATGAAGATGCCTTGGCACTTCAATTATAATCTGTACCAAGATCAATCAAGTAAAATGGGTTACATTTACCTTATGCATCACTTAAGCATGTAAAATATCACATATCAAGGATCAGATCTGTTCTTCTGGGATTTTTTTATGCATAATGTAAATGTTACCACTTGCTTGAGGTCAAAAACTGCCCCATCTACTGGACATAACCGACCGACTCATTCACCCAAACTGCACCTCGGCTGGACGCAGCAGCCTGTAACGCACTGCCTCCACCTGCTGTTCGAAGAACACTTTTAAACAGACATTTTGAGCACAGATAACCGAGTTTTTTATTTTGTCAGAACTAGTGCAGCAGACAGTCTCTTCTCCATCTATTAAGGTATTAATTTAAACCAGAACTGGGAGTATATTTGAGCAGTAGTACTCATCCGCTTTCACTCCAGAGACTGAAAGATTTCTAGTGAGGAAAGGACCCTACCCCCTCCTCACAGGTACCCCCTACCATAGTCATAATTCAGCTTCTGACAGCTGCGTTCTTCACACATTTCAAAGTGTGAGAAAGGGGTGCTCAGAGTTACTCAGACACTCAGCTACAGAGAGCAACTAAACCGTTATTTCTGGCAGAGACAGGATACAGTAGTACAAGAAAGACAAACTGAGTAAAACGATGCTCACTACATCATCTTAATGGCAAGGAAAGTGTTTTACAAGCGCCTAACAATTTGATCAGACCAGCAGCCTTCAAAAGAAATAACCCAACGAGCCTGTCTTGGCATTATATCATCATTGCGTTGACATCTATGGCAGCGTGAAGAAAAAAGCCAGTATGAGATGAAAAGAGAATTTTAATTTGAGAGGAAGATAGCAGTGTAACTGAAAGACAGGTTAAATATTTACATGTGGCAAGAGTCCAATGCGACCCCCAAGGCTGCAATTATGGACAGATGACAAGAACACAGTTGTCAAGAAGTTACAAATAAGAGTGATAAACAGCTCAATAAACACAGTCTTAAGTGACATTTGGCAATTGCACCTATAAATAGACATCACAGAGACACAGATGAATGGATAGCTACACTATGGCCAGATAGAAAAAAACCAGAATTAAAAACCCAAATCTGTGTACATCAGAGCTAGGTAAAAAAACCTGTCAGAGTTAAGATGCAAAATTCAATGCTAAGATTCAGCTATGATAAGGGAACACTGAACAGAGTGGAGCAAGGATACCCGGGGCAAAATTCAAAGGCAGAGCATGAGAAGTCCAAACACTGTTACAAGGAGCACAACTAACTCTCGGGAAGGGAAAAATAAAAAATAAATAAATAAGGGGGGGGGGGAAGGAAGGGAAGGGGTTTAACGTGCTAATGATGTGAACGATAGTGGAAAAAAAAAAAAGGGGGGGGGGGGGGGGGGAAGAAAGGGAAGGTGTTTAACGTGCTAATGATGTGAACGATAGTGGAAAAACATTTTCAAGTGAGAGCCCAACTTGGTAACTCATGTCCAGTCCTACTCATCTATCAGCAGCCAGGTTTACACAAGCTTCCAAGCAAAGAAAAAAGCCTGTCTGTGAACTCAAGACTTCAGCAGCAAGATGAGAATGGGGCTTTTTATTTTTCAGTGATAATGTAACGTTAATCTACAATAACATTACATGGCATTTCACTCTGTGGGCTTCAAAAAACACCACGATCTAGAATGAGGATGTATTTTATACAAGTCAAACTGCAAATAAAAGGAGCAGAATATGTAAATATCCTATCTCCTCCAAAAACATCCTAAATACCTGTTAGTAATTAACATTTGTCTTTGAAGGTGGGAGAAGAGTTCACAGCATCTTGTGCTTTTGGTTTTCATTTTAGGGTATTATTCCAAATGCTATCAAAAACTACCCAGCTCTTTTTAGAAAAACAATGGCTAGAAAACAGTTGAGTCACAGCAAGTTTTGCTCTCTTAAAAGAAAAAGTGGGGTTTTTTTTCATGTCTGGGGCTCTGAGGTCACTTAAACACTCATAATGTGCTATGTATTGACTAGAGAGTATTTTGATAAACAGTCTGATCAACAAAATGCTTAACACACCTATGTGTATGCCTATTAAGACTTTTATGCTTGTAAATTTAATATTTAACTTCTGCTGAATCTTCAGCCGCAATTAAGACGTTGGAGATAAACACATGAGCAGTAAGACCAGTAAAGGCACCTAGATCTTTCCAATTACAATAGTGTAGGACAGGCTAGGAAAGGCACACAAAACTTGATCAGCTGAGTACTCACTCACCTGAGGGTATTAGGGAGTCTCGCTCAATAATTCTGGCTGATGCCAAGTCACTGATGATATACTGTAATCTCAAGTGTGTGAACACGGACAGGAACGCATTCCCCTGTTCTGATTCCAGGAATGCAATGTCATCCTCAAAATCTGCAAGACAGAGCACCTGTATTACAATTTGTTTTCCTAAATGTTTTCCAGACCCTATTTATAGTTGAGATTGAGTTTTAACTTATTTATCAGAGAAAGTTATTATGGACAGGCAAATCATCTTTTGCAGCTAAAATTAAGAAATTACTTACATTCAAATCCTTTCAGCAGAAATGTTAGACCAAACTTTTCCTCTTTTGAAACACAATAGTACCTTCTAGTGAGAAGGCAACAAAAGCTTATCCTAACTGAACAATAGCAAAAGCAACAAAGCAAAACCAGCAACCATGTCTGCTCACTTGAAAACATGTGGACAAAACAGTGAAAAAGCTATGCGCTCACTTGAAAACACGTGGACAAAACGCTGAAAAAAAGCTATCAGTGTTGAGAATCTGATGCTGGGGACTGTTGGCAGATGCAAGCCTTCCCAGAGAAAAAGGAAGAAAGTTTGAAAGTGGAGGAAGACTATCACATTTTACTTCTAACCTGTGTCTTCCCCAATCCAAGGCCATGCCAATTAATCCTACCTTTCCTACGCTTGGCAAACCAGGCATCAGCTTCGGTTAAGAGTTGTTTCAAAGACCCATTCCAAGAAGGCACTAGCTGAAGGAACATCCACTAGGTAAAATAAACAAATTCTAGTAAGTTAACTGAAGAAGTTTTCAAACAGGTAATACATGCATTATTAAAGGAACATTTCCATAATGCATTCATTCCTACTAAGATTCTGATACTCTATCAAACATTTTCAGTAACTGACAAAAAGGCTAAAATTCTCATCACATTACAACACCACTACTCTCAGGAGTTCGACTTCATGAAGGCCCAGCCAGCCCCTTTGCTAAGTACCTTTTTGAGAGCAGTGTACACATCCATTTCCACTTGCATTACAAATAGGTTAGAAGAGCTAATCAGCTGTTTCATGAGGTTTATGCTGGGGAAAAAAAAAAAAAATTGTTAAGAGTTCCATGAGACAGTATAGACAAAACCAAGAAAGCAATTAGGTAACAAGCAACCACCAGTAGCCTAAGAAGTTATTTGTAGTGAGCTATATACTTTGGAAGAAATTGTACTTCATCACTCAGTGTTCACTGCAGCCTGTACCTGAGTTCTTTGAAGAGTTCAACGCTCTGGTGAGTCATCAGGTTATTCAAGAGCCATTCAAGGCACCTAAATTAAAAGCAAGGAATTAGTACCTTCATTTTTTTCTTATATATGTCAACATTCCTGCAACAGTTGCTCAGGCTCACAAAGCTTGATCATGTACCACATGATTTTGAAATACTGCTTTAACCCGAGACATGCATGCATAAAAACATGAAAGAGTTACTTCAAAAACATGAAGTTTACCATAAAATTTTCCAAAATTTTCTGAAACTTATAAAGTTGCATTTAGTTTCTCTCAGGGTACAGTGCAAGCTAAATTCAAAGTACCATTAATGCCACAAAAAGCTCTGAGAACACACTAATTCCCAGCAGAAGGAAGCAGTTAGCACTAAGCTTATCCCTCCTAATTAAGTTAAAGTTAAGCTTAAGTTCTGAATATTGGAGCAGCTTTGTGATAGAACAGTCAATGATCACAAGTATTATTTCATTGTCACACTGAAGACCAAACATATTCTCTTTACTAGTATACTTTAGTAATTAATTCATTCCCAGCAAAGGCCAATCAAGTTACCATAATCTACACTAATTTTAAGGTAACTGATTATAGTTGAAACTCAAAATCTAAATAGGACAAGCAGAGCCCAAGTCTTAAAAACAAAAACAAAACCAAAAACTTGTGCATTATTTCACTGTTTGTGAATTCACACTTTTCAATACCAATGAAAAAAGCAGCTTGGAGAAAGTAATTCTTACTTTTTCTTCACAGAGTCTAACCCGTATGTCCCCGCTGCATTATAATAACCACACACAGTTTTTGCATTAATGGTTTCCTTCATTGTTTCACCACATTGTTGGATTAAGCCATCCTGTGGGGAGGAAAAAACCCACAAATATTCAAAGTTTTAATTCCCCAATAAGAAGTGTCAAATAGTGCGCAGTTCATAGAAATTTTTCATGCCTGAACAACTACCAAAGTCACACGTGCTACAGTGACCTATGCTGTGCTATCCAGAAAAATTAAACTGATGTTTCTAAAAAAAAAAAACAAACCAGATTTTTCTTAAGAATAGATCACACGTGAAAGAAAAGCTTAGTGAATACCTTCAGGCTAGAACAAATGAGCTATTAAAACATATTTTAATCTACTTCTAGATATGGTTCTCAAACTGGCACTTAACATTACAACTGAATCTTAGTCATAGCATTTTTAAATAAAACCACGGCATTACGTTTGGGTTTTTTCCCACTTAGTATGAAAAGATGATTCATTTCTCTAGGTTAAACAGTACATGCGTGTGAGTATATTATGAACTGTTATCTTTATCTGAAAAGAAAGCATAAAAATATTGCATATTTACTACTTACAAGCTGCAGCATGCAGGCTGCTGCTAAAAGTGCAACTACTCGACTGGGTTTTATTAACACATCATCTCTATACAGTGAGCCAAAAGCCACCTGCAGAGCTGAAAAGAGCACAAGTGTCAATCAAAGACAGGACATTGAGCATAGATAACTAAAAGAATCCTTAAACACAACCAAACCACTTGAGTGCACACATTCTCTACAATTGTTCGCTCGTGGCATTAACCACTCAAATGCAGTCCTCTTCACCATTTAAACAAAGTATTCATCTTAGCCACCAAGTCACTCCACGGTGCAATGTGGAGCGCAGTAAAACTAGGTAAGAAGAAGCTAAACTTCATGATCCTTCTCTGCAATTGACCACTAGCATAATCTTGAGATATTACTATGATGTACAAGTTTCTCTGTAATTCTTCTGAAAACTGCTACTTCTTCCCTCCATGGTACTTGGAACCATAGCAAAACATTCTGCCAAGTCCCATCAGTCCCCTGCGAGCATGCCACTTGGTAGCTTTTCAAGACCAGACAGATGAAGATGTGATTCACATGCTAATACTTGTGTCTCCACGGAAGTTGCGTACACTGAACTCAAGAGCCCAAACAACAGGACAAGTGGTTGCTTTTCAGCTGCGCTTCGTAAGTCGGAGGTACAAAAATGAATTCAACTCTACTGGTGACCCGAGTTAAGCTCAAAACTGAATGAGCACAGAACTCATTCTCTCAAGTTTCTTATTTACTAATTTGAAAATTATTCTCAAAAAAAACCCATATTTTCAGTTATTTTTGTCAAGTTCAACTTAACCTCTACCTTCAGAGGTCATGTTAAAATAAAAGGTTCGCACATACCTTCTATATCAATATTTTGGTCAGGAATCTCCAACTCTATGATGTTCATGCTAGATTCTTTCCAAGATCCACTGAACATACTGGAAAAGTAGCCTGACTACATGAGGGAAGATGACAGAAAAAGAATTCGAGTAAGAGATTTCATTCAAACTAAAACTGTCAAAAGCAGCACATGGACTGAAAAATTGTTAATATTTACCTTTATGCAGAACAAAACGTATTAAGGGAACTTTTCACAAGCTAAAACATTCTGACTTGAGAAAGGGCTAATTGTAGTTGCTCTATTTCTGAAAGTGAAAACATGTACAGCAAATTTGGACTACATGTTTGTAATCAGAGTAAGTAAAGAGCTTTAAAGAGCCAGAAAAGCCACAAAGCTCTTTTCCTACAAACCACACCACCAATGGGGATATAATTAGTCCAAGAATTAAATCCTTAAAGTTATCGGTGGACAACAAATCCTGCAGGCATTAGGGAATGCCAGTTTGGGTACTGAGGGGGAAAAAAAAAAGAAAAAAAGGCATGCAAGACATACAAATTAATGTACAAAGTTGTAGTCTCATACCAAGGACACATACACATACACCATTTATGCAAGTATACCTTTTATTATAAAGTGTAAGGCATATAAAACTAGAATTTGATAGGTTTCCATCCAAATGAAGTGAAATATACTGCTCTACTAGGATTCATGATTTTCCTTCTCAGCAGCAGATGTGCCCATTATGAGATGCTATCACTCACTGAAGTTTACCTGAGAGATCAAAAAAATAAAGTCTATTTGTACAGTACCATATTCCCTGACCTCTTAACTCAGCATTTCAACTCAGGGCAGCAAATAACATAAAATCCAATTTGGTTTTACTTGATTACGTAAATATTTCTATACCTTCAGCATATTCCTCTATCTGTGGTGACATACAACACACTACTCAAAACCAGGACCATATTCATCTTACCAGTCCTCGTGAGGCTACGTTAGCTTTGCCATGTAGATCAACTCCTCACTTTCATAAGAATTTATCATTTTAGTAAACAGTATCAGAAAAAGGAAATCCTCCATTTCTCAGACCTGCCATTCACAAGGCAGAGCAGCACCTTACTGCCATTTATCAGAGTAACTTGAGAGACTAGGGAAACAGAAACGTTCAGACTGAGATAGTCTGCTCAACAAGGCAGAGGTGGAGTCATAATTTCATTCAGAGAAAGTTATTTTTAACATCCAAAAATATTTTACCTATAGTAACATAATTCCAATGACAGAGCATGAATTGGAATAGAAACCTGACTGACAACAGTTAACTTAACCAACAAAATTTCATCTCACAAGAATATCACTTGTGAGGCTTCTACAGAACAAAATCGCAATTTTCAAAGTCTGTTAAAAAGGATCCACAGAAGAGATTTAATATTCAATTTTAGTCATCAACCCACACTAAGTTTTAAATACTAACTTCACAAACTCGAGACATAGCAACAGAAACACGATGATTAAAAACATCATCGCCAACAACAGTCTTAGGACAAACCAGCAATGTGCCCACCCTGTTTATGCTGCACAACGTAAGTCTGACTGTCCAACCCACTTATATCTTCCCCTTTGTTAAATAAAGTCAAAAGTGAGCAGTCAGTTAAAGCTGTCCTCCCTGGTCAAACACACCCATCGTTCTATCCAGAAATGGCTGCCACTGGTTAATCTTGGGCTATACACAAATGACTTTCCTGCCCTCATTTTCTTATGCTCTTTAAGATGTTCTAACACATGTAAAAGGCTTTTTCCTACAAGAAAGCAATTGAATTTCCCTCACTGTGGCCAATGCAAGTAATTGCTGCACCTGCACTGGAATCATGGCTTTAACACAAGAACAACAAATCAAGAATTTGCTTCTACCGTCCCTTGTTACACCAGAGAAACCGCATTCAGCCTGCTGAGCATCTCACAGTGATACCTTCACCTTCTAACACATAAAACTGCTTTGTGTTTGACTACAAGTAACAAAACAGTGCACACATTTTCAGGTATAGTACCTGATGTTACTTTTGCTTCTCACTTCAGATAAATTGCTACCAAGGTTAGACTCCCACTTTAAAAGTTAATGGCACAACTGAATTGGACATTTCAAGACAAAGCCATAGTTTCTCCCCACTTCGGTCATGGGAGAAGTAATAAAGAGAACAGACAGTAAAGATAACAGTACCTCTTAACTTCCAAAACACAGAAAGTAACACAAAGTCCTTCACCTTCATACAAGCCCAAAATAAAACGCTTGTAAAAGCGGCATCTTTTTTTGTAGGTACGCACTAAGATTTATTCCTTCTTAGAGCTTCTGTGCATACCTTCTTCATGTAGCAGCAAGCAAGCTGCAAGAAAGCATAACAAATACAGAGACCCAGCTCCAGCAATTTCACTTCAAGTTCCTATACTTGAGTCCCAATGAACATTAAAATTTAACTGGGTTAGCATTCTATAATAGAACTGGGTTAGTTCTTCCATTCTGGAAGCTTTCTTTGCTCTGCAATGACATTAACATCACAGGAGACTCTCAGCCATTTGTTTCGCAAACAAGAACATGTTCTCAGGACATCAAAGACAATTTTCAGGACTGTTTTCACAAAGGATGCACTAAGGTTAAGATAAGTAGATTAAAAAATTAAATAGCAAGAGACAGAAGCAAAGAAATTTTTCAAACACAAAGCTACAGCTACACTTCCTAACATTACTACCAAAAGCACAACACAAGTTGTTTAACCGTCTGCATCCACAGAAAGGGGAACAAGTCAGAAATATAAGGGAACAAAAAAGAAAAGAAAAAAGCTCAAGTCACACAACGTTTACCACATATTCGTTTATTAAAAATACTGTTTCTGTTGTGAGTAAGAAAGAAGCCGCTTACCTGACACAAATATATCTTATGCAAGTTCCACTCCTCTCCCAGAGCACAAATTTTGACATCACTGTTCTCCCCGTTCAAAAACAGAGTCTGATAAATATACTTAGAAGTGCTTTTCAATTTTTTCCTATGCAAAAAAACAAAGAGAGATACACTCCTTCAGATTTTTCCGTTATAGAAGCAACACTAAATATAAAATACTGGACAAGGTTTTTTTCTCCCCGTAACACATTGACTGCTGCCCCTGTTGTTGCCCCCACGACTCCCCTGCGCACTGCCCCTCTCGTTCACTGCAGCTGGGACCTTTCCAAAGCAAACAAGAAACCAACTCCTGCCCCAGGCCCACGACCAACCTCACACCAAAAACCGTTTCCCTCCACCTCCCGCCCGCAC